AGCTGTGTGGCTTTGTTAATTTTCTGTCCTAGAATGCGGTAAGAGGTGCCCTTTTTTTTTTTTTTTTTTTTTTTGAGCACCTGCCCCTTTAGTGGTCTCTGCACGGCCCTGTTGTGCCTGTCAAACGGTGTCTTTATGCGCCACAAGTGCCACTGTTTTCGGGGCTAGCAGTCAGTGTTGTCACTGACTTCGGCTGACTTCGGCACCTTCCAAGGGTTTCCGCGACTTCATACTGGCACCTCCCACGCCTCACGGACCGTTCTCGTCACGATTTGCACCTGCTGTCTCTCGCTGAGTAGGATCATTAAAAAATAAAAATGGATATTTTTGCTATATTTGTTCTGATGGGCTTTTATATACTTATTTATGAACAATTACATGTGTTAAAATAGTAATTTTAGCGAAAAATCAACGCAGTAAGATTTACAACTTTTACATGAAAATTTCAGTGAAGTTTTAAGTGTATCAACTGCGCATGCGCAAACGTTACAGCAACAAGGAAGCCTCGGTTGGTTGTCGGTTGGTTTGACAAAATTTGAGAAACAAAACGCAAATTAGCAACTACTTTGCGTTCCGAGAATAACTGGGGACTAAAGAAACAAAGTGCCGGAAGAAAGTAAGTTTTCCGCTGTAAATTATTAAGTTTACTAAAGCTAATTCGGTGTTTTTCAGCCGCTAGAACTGGCCGCACCTGAACTCTATATTGGCTAATGATGGCTAACTGTTTTCCTTACAGCACGACGGTTTCCATGTCGCAAATGAAAACATACATTAAGGTAAGACAGCTTGGCTTATTGTACTGTACTGAAATGTTTAATTTCTACATTTTACTTGTGGTTTTGGGTCAGCCGTAGCTTTTGGTGTTTGCTGTTGTTGAAATGTGACGCTAATGTTGCACGTACTTGTTGATTTTGGAGGATTATAATGGCTGAAAGCAGATTTTTAACGTAGTACTTTGATTTTATACAGGCATATGAATGAATGCTTTGAAACATTTTACCGGTATGCTTCAATCTCACGCTGAAATGTTTTTTTTGTTGGGATTTTATGTGATTTAGAAGCGCAACGTAACACATAATTGTAGAGAGGTGGAAGAAAAGTAAAAGTAATGCAGTTGTTTTTTCATTATTCATCTTAAATAATCTGAAAAGTGCGGTGTCCATTTAGTTAAAATGGTTTCCATGCATGCATAAATATGGAAAAACAAAGCAAAAATATAAAAACATATTTTTTTTTATCCTGGTCCCTGCCCTTCTTTCTCGTTTGTATTTTAACTTTTCTTCCCCTCTTCTTCCCTATATGCCTTTACTGATTTTCTTGCATGTTTTTTTTGTAAGAAAAATGTGCAGCGATCTTGTTGACAGTTTAATGTTTTTAGCTGCGTCTTTTCTTAATCTTACATAGCGCTGTCCAAGATTTCAGTAAAATATATTTCAGTTTGTGGCTTTAAAACGCGGATTTGAATCTAAGATACTGGCATTGTTGATTTACTATGGGTCGTATTTTGAATGGTAGAGGTTGAATGTTTTCCACTTGACGTTAGCCGAACATTTGACAAAAAAAAAGTTTTTATCATTTTGCTGAGATTATTCAAGCTTTGATTTTAGTCATTAATGCTTGAATAATTAGATTGAATTAGAGTAAAACATAATGATTATAGCAAATCTTAACCTTCTGAATGGTTTGCCATAAAATATTTTCCTATGAATTTGCAGGATGCATGTTATGACTTACTTAACTAATGTTAATTAAATCAACTCCTATAGAGCTTTGGAGCTGACGTCACGGCGTATGACGTTTACGTCGCTCGGCGCCATGTTTGGTGTCCACAGGCCAAAACAAACTAGTCAGAACACCGGTGTTTTCTTTGTGTTACCGACCGCAGTGAAATTGTTTTCAAGTTGGATACTGGATATTCGCGCTCCGCGGAGTAAAGGACGTTCAGCTCAAGGTTGATCCGATTTATGAACGCTAATTTCGGCCAGCTGTTCTTTACTTGTCCCTCCTCAAGTGCTTGGAGGTTCACATAGGGACCGTCAGTTTCTAGGTTTGTGACCTATTGACTCAAATCTGTGTGAAATTATTCTACTAAACTAAGTAGATTAGGCATATTTTATTCCATTTTGACCCCTTTTAATTTTTAAACCAAAATTATTTGTAAAAAATATTGATAAAATGTATTACCTCAGATGATCATCACTTGTTCAATTGCATAAAATTCTAGGACAGGATCTATCTCATTACATGTTCACTTACCTGAAATACGTTAAATACAACAAATATTTATGAAAGTGTGATCTATTTCATAAAATTTGTCACCTTTATTGTTTAATTACACATTAAATGTTTAAATATGAGCTCTTTTATCTGGTTTTATCACTCATGATGTGGCGGTGGACACAAATGCACCAGGCAGTAGACTTACTTTATGTGGATGTTATTTTAATGAACAAAATAAACAAACTAAATCCAAAATCCAGGGAAAACAAGGAAATCCAAAACACAATGAAACAGGAGACACGAGGGATAACAACGGTAACATCTGGCAACGTGGTGAGCAGGGTAACAAGTTGGACTGGTGAGTTGTGACTGAAAAAGGAGCTTTTTCAGTCGTAGTAATGGGAACAATAGCCTAAATGAGAAGAGTGATAGCAGGTGTGAGTAATTTGGCACAGCAGCTGGCTGAGGGCTGGGGAGAAGGTGGCACAGGGAAAACTAAGGAGATCTGCTGGGAACACAAACGGGAGGAAACGGGGAACTGAAAAATACTTCTAATACAAAAGACACTACACAGCAAATTCAAAAGTGTTAAATGTTTTGGTGTTGGACTTCATGCAAAAGCAGAGTTAATTTTACTCTTATAGAGTCACATTCTGTTTATGTAACTCTGGGGTGTATATTATTAGTAGTTAAACTCCAGTGTTAAAACAAAGTGTTTCCGTATCAAATCTAGAGGTGTTAAAATGGAATCAATAACTCTTTACTTCTTAACTCTGAACTCCTTACAGTGGCTCTAACACTGAAGGAGTTAATTCACTGCCTCCGCCCCAGAATCACAGATTCCCACCGAAGGAAGCAGCAGAAGCCAAGTCATTTCAGAACTATTTACTTTCCACCTGTCTGAGTTATTTACTGCACTTGGTAAGTTATTTCTTTTTTTTTTTCTGAGATGGTTTATAACCATTATTTTGAGTTGAGCTCAACCTGTATGATAGACGTCACGTCCGCCACATAGCTCGGTGTTAGCATTTTTAGCTTAGCATGCCAAATGTTAACGGAGTATAAGTGTTGAAAAATATCGAGCCGGTGAAGATTCAGTCAAATTATTGGCTAACTTAAACTGATCTTTTTCATGTTGAAAGCATTATTCCCGCTGTTGTGTCTTATATACGTTTTGCAGCATGTTTTAATCCTTTTATTGCCTTTTTGCATATATTAGAACCAGTTTGGTTGAGGATGAATCGCCAGTCGTCTGCCTAACCTCCATCTCCCGATCCCTCCATGGATTTTTCAAGATTCAAGCTCCAAAAATGATTATGTAAGTGTTAATATCTCTGAAACCCTACATTTCTGTAATTGAGGATTGTTGTTAGAGTTGTAGTAAAAATGTATTCCTTCTTTCCATTTCTCATTGTTATGTTTTTTGTTTGTTATGATCCAGAGACCGAGACTGGCTGTCCCACTCAGACTGAAGACGGTCCGATGCAGCAGAGGAGCATGTTGGTGTCTCCGGCCAAACGTCACCAACAGCCCAACAACCTGAAGACAATCTGTTAGTGAGTGGACAGCCTTTTGGTGGAGTGCAGAGAGGAACTGCGTCTTATCAACAGAAACAAACTGGATAAGAAATGATGGATCTGAATATCAGGTTGGTCTATTATGTACTGTACATATCTGGCAATCTACCTGTTAAAAGGAAATGCACTCTATCATATTGCATGAACTGCATGCATTGATACAGGCTTTATTTTATCCACCTTGTACTTTGAACAATTTCATGCATTTTGTATTGCACAGCTGATATGTCAGACCTTTTAATAAGTAATATGTGAATGAAAGCGACATGTGAAACATGCACATTATTCCACGTTGTAATATGTTTTGTAATTGTGGTGCACGTTTTGAAATAAATGCATTTGAAAAAATCATTGCCTCTTTATTAAATGTTTATTTTCCAAAGAATTTTTAAAAGTTCAAAACAATATAGTACCTATTTAATATTAATTACAAATAACTCTTAAGAAGTTAAAGAAATACTCTGAGAGTTCAGATCTATGGAAGCCCATTTCCGCCACTCTGTTTAAAAACAAATTATCTCATTATAATGAGATAGTATTATGAGATACTTTCTCAGTATTATGAGATACTATACATCGGCTCAGGACATTTAGGGACTGTGGAGGTTGAACCCCCATTTCGAATTAGTTCAGTCCACCTGTACCGTTTGACTTTTCCGTCGGTCGCGCCTGCCGCCAGCAAGCATTCAGCTAAATACATCTGTTTACAACGGTAAGAAATGTGGTTTTGTTCATTTAAGTCTGTAATATAAGCTAGCATAAGCTAGTATAAAGTAATCAATTTGGCATCCTGACCACGGTAGCTAATCTTGAAGATAGCTTAAGAAGATGGATATCTTTGAAGCTAACGTTTTCTGTTTCTTTACTTCGTCAGTCAACAACTGACTTTCCAGTAACTGTAGTTAATATCTGAGGATTACGTGGTACTTTTATTTGCTGTAATGACACATGTTCAGTTTACCACAAAGTCGTGGTGTAATAACTGGTGAGTAGTTCGTAGATGCTGCATCTCGCTCCCAAACCACTGCGACACCTAAACGACACCTCTGAGCCTATGTATTTTTTAAAAGTTAAACTAAAATATCCCATGGCATTTTATGTCATGTACACACACTCTATCTCTCTAATATTCAAAATAATTTAAGTATCTAAACCACAAGCAAAGAAATGTGTGTATATATAATATATAGTGTCTGTCTGCAAATCTATTTTATTGATTTAATCAGTAAGTTCAAATAACCACTACAACATGTTCTTGCTTTTGTACAGTGTGTGTTGTTTCAGAAAGACAGAAGACTGGACAGCGTGGAGCAGCTTTTCACTAGCCTTTTTTGATCACACAAGAGGTAAGTGACTTCTCTGCTATAGCGTGTTTCTCCCGTTCTCTTTTGAAAGACCTCTATTCTCCACAGATGGCTTAATTTTCAGTGTATTTCCTTTTCTACTGCTAAAGACAATGTCAATATAGAACGGTACAGTTCTTGGTAACACTTTATTTGAAGGGGGTTGAATAAGACTGTCATGACAGTCATAAACATGACATAACACCTGTCATGAACATCAATAAGTTTTCATGAATAGTTATGACTGTTGTCATAAAGCGTCATTTGGTAAATAATGACACTTTTAATACAAAGTTGACATTATTCAAAATGTCTTCGCTATGACAACTTGTCATTAACCTCGCCAAAAATGTCTTTATGACAACTTGTCATTAACCTCGCCAAAAATGTCTTCGTTATGACAATTTGTCATTAACCAAGAAATCATGATCTAACATAAATTTGTCATAATAGTAGTCATAATGATTTAATTATTACACTAGCAAAAGCTTTAACAAAATTAATATTTCCACTCCCTGAAATAAAGCAAAACAAGTAGGACAAGCAATAAAGATTTCACTAAGCTTTATTACTCGGTCAAATTATTTGATAACAGACTCATTAACAATTTCTTTTACATCAACTAAAGTGGAACAAGTAGCACCAGTTATGAATATGTCATTAAGTGTTATTACAGTGTCATTAATGTTAACTGTTACCTCAAGTAAAGTGAAACAAGTAACAACAGTTATGACAGTCATTAAGTGTCACTACGGTGTCATTAATATTAACTATTACCTCAAGAAAAGCCTTTTCATGAATTCAAACTTGGTGAATCTCTTCTGGACATTCTCATAGTCGGTGATGACTCAATTCATTGTGGTCACTTAAAAAAAGAATAAAAACAAAAACCAATGTCATCATATTCCAGCATTTATTTAAATACCATTTCAAAAATGTCCCTTGCTGCACACTGTCAGAATGGTAGACTGGCAGAGACACATACCTCATATGTATTAGGTATCAAACTTCGGCTTCTTTTTAAACAGGAGGTCTGGCCGTTGTAACTTGTTAGGTTTGCGCCACAATATGGAAGATTTCTTCTTCACCAACACACTGCATGCCTGTTCGTGCACTGCTGCCTCTCACTGGTGGAAATGGTGTATTGCACTACTTAGCCCTTGTGTTTAGAAATGGGGTCCATACCAACAGACCCCACACACGTAAAACTTTTATCATTTGCCACAGTTCTCTACGTTTACCTCAGTCCTCGCACGCATAAGGGTTTAAACAGCCTTAAATAATGTTTCAAATGCTAAGTTCATAAGTGCTTTGTAGACATCTTGCTGTAAAACTTTAGGATAGATTAAATTAAGACTAAACAACATGGCAGAGCTTTATAATATTACTACATAAAGCTAATTTTTAAAGTTTAATCGGTAATACTTTTATAAAAAATGTATGTCAGATCATGATTTCTTGGTTAATGACAAGTTGTCCTAACGAAGACATTTTTGGCGAGGTTAATGACAAGTTGTCATAACGAAGACATTTTGTCTAGATTAATGACAAGTTGTTATAACAAAGACATGTTGAATAATGTCAACTTTGTATTAAAAGTGTCATTATTTACTGAATGACGCTTTATGACAACAGTCATAACTATTCATGAAGACTTATTGATGTTCATGACAGGTGTTATGTCATGTTTATGACAGTGTCATGACAGTCTTATTCAACCCCCTTCAAATAAAGTGTTACCAATATGTGACAAAAAAACATAGTGCTTAAAGGCATTATGAATGTCCCAGCCCGGGGGCTTTCTCCATGCAGAAAGACCACCTGTGCACCCACCATGCATCCCTGTGCATGGTGGGTTTTCTCCGGGTACTCCATTTTCCTCCCACAGTGCAAAAACATGACTGTCAGGTTAATTGGTCTTTCTAAATTCTCCCTAAGTGTGAGTGTGTGTGTGCATGGTTGATTGTCCTGTCTGTCTCTGTGTTGCCCTGCGACAGACTGGCGACATGTTCAGGGTGACCCCACCTCTCGTTTTCTGTAGATAGACACTAGACCCCTCCCGACCCTACTAGGGATAAGGGTGTTAGAAAATGCATTGATGGATTGCATTATGAATGACTATATTATTATTAGTTTTCCAGGTAAAATTATAATTTGTAGTATGACTTGCTTTACATTTTATTGGAAACATCTGATGATGGTCTTGTGTATCTTCTCTTCCAGTGTAAGATCACAGAATGGATGACCTGAGTGATTTCCTGAAACAAAGGAATATTCCAGAGGAAACTATCGAGACCATGCTGAGAGAGAAGGTACTAGCTGAAAAATATCAGTATTTCAAAAACTACAGTTTTTTTAAAGCATGTGTCTAGCAATGTTATCTAATTTAATTCAAATAATGTGCATGCAATTCTAGTTCCATTTTTGTAGTTTTAATTAAATATTTTTTATTGTCCTCATTTAGATTGATACCAACGTCATCCATGACAGATGAAGAGTTAAAGAATTATTTGCCATCATATGGAGACCGCATAGCCCTGTTAGGATACTGTAAAAGAAAGGAAAATGGCCCCCCAAACAGTCGCAAATCAAAACTGTTTGAGCGCTTGAAATCAAAGCTGGGTAAAAGAAGAACTGCTCATGAAGATGGCTGTGGTATGGACAAAGAAGAGCAATCTGAAACAACTGTAAAGAAGAATGCTCTGAAGTCAAAGAGAAAAATAGAAATAGGCTGGCTGCTTTATGATGAAGAACAACAGGCTTTTAAACAAGTAAGAGCAAGAAGAGGTGGTGGAACAAGGAAGGTCGATGTATCAAAGGATGCTAAAAAATGTGAGATAATCCAGATGGCTCTTGGCCTTTTCTTTCCAAATGGGAGAAATAGAGAAGGGTCCATAACAGATTTTGAAATAGATCTGAAAGATTATCAGGAAGTGCCAATTGATGACAAAATCTCTGTTGGACAAATGTTTCATGTTACAAAACTGACTATTCTCAGGTTTTACCTGACCACACATAAAAAGAAGGCTAACCAGTCAGTCAAGATGAAGTTTTGTCTTCACCACTTTCTCAGGATCAAGACAGTTCTCTGAATCAGCCCTCCTCTTCATCTGCTGTAAATGTTGCAGCGACCAGCCAATCTGCAATATCCATAGTAACTTCTGACTTCCTATTTGTTGGAAATATAACAAATCATGACAATATTAACTTTTCACTTCATTCTGCAGAGCTCAGGGAGGAGGATTTGGAGAGCAGTAACATAGTGTTTCTAGGACCGTTTTCTGACAGTGAGCCACAGATTTTGGGTGACACTTTGCCACTATCCCCTCAATCCACATCATCTGTCAAGGCAGTGAAGAAGATACTGGTAGTTCACAGAGGTCAGGTACTTCCTGAGCTCATAGCAACTTCTCTGATGATGGACTTCTAGATAGAGACTTCAAAATCCAACTTGTCCTGCCAGATGGAACACCTGAGATGGGTTATGATGACGGAGGAGTCGTTAGAGACTGTCTTTCTGAATTCTGGAAAGAATTCTATGACCAGTGTACTACAGGAAACACTTACAAAGTACCTTTTCTGAGACATGATTATGGACAGCAGCAGTGGGAGAGTGTAGGCCGAATAATTGTCTTTGGATGGACAAGAGAGAAATATCTTCCTATGAAGATTGCACCTGTCATACTAGAGCAAGCAGCTTTTGGACAGGTAAAAAGTGAGGTGGTGGAGAATTTCCTTAAGTGCATGCCTGAATCTGAGCGTTTTGTGTTTCAGTCGTGGCAGTCAGACTTCAGCAGTGTTGACAAAGAAGAATTGATAGAGATTCTTGATAACTACAGTTGCAGACGAATGCCCACTGCCAGCAATGTAAATGAAATCCTCCAGGAGCTTGCACACAAAACACTTGTCCAAGAGCCTGCTTACGTTATTGAACAGTGGGCCAAAACACTCAGTATCACCGGGAACAGCTTCCAGGACCTTTATTCATTGTATGAAAACTTGCCACCAAATGCGAGAAAAGTTTTGAGTCCATTGTCTTTCCTCAGGAAATGAATATTCATCAGAAGGATATTCAAAAGTACGTTAGCACGTATATCAGGAATGCAGATTTGCAGCATCTGTCCTTGTTTCTAAGGTTCTGCACAGGCTCAGACCTGTTCCTGGATAAGAAAATTCTTATCGATTTCACAAAGATTCAAGGGTTTCTCAGAAGACCTGTGGCTCACACATGTAGCTGTGTCCTTGAGCTGTCAATCTATTATGACAGCTATCCAGATTTCAGTGCTGAAATGAACAAAGTTTTGGAGTCTAATGTATGGGTCATGGACATTATTTAAAGTTTTGAAAGTGATGGAATTAGAGGGTGGAGCTACACAGTTGTGGAACTCCTAAAAGAAAAAACAAAGGAGATTAAGGTGGCTATTTAAAGTAACAAGTTGCCTATCAAGATCTAAGTAGATGTTTTGAGGATTTTCCCCCAAATTTCCTTGACAGAGTTTAAAGTTTCAGAGATAACATTTTATCTGGGTGATGTTACCTTTCCCAAACTTTCTCCAGATGTAATTAAAAGGATCAACTGTTTGTGATAGGTAAATGCTGATTTGTGCAGCACAGTTGTTGGTTTGTTTAAGGATAGGTTGTCAAAACTCAACAAGGCTTCTTAGCACTACTCTTCTTAAAAATATCAATAATTTGGAATCTGTAGTGATTTTTGATGCAAAAAACAGTCAATACTTACTGTTAGGATTAAGTACAAAATGTTAAGTATTTGTAAGCCATAGGGTGTTGTCATTTATGAATGACATTTGTACTTTTACATATTCAAAGTTGAAGTTTTAAGTTATTTGAAATGTAATCAGTACAGAATTGACATTGTCCACATTATCACAAACATAGAAAATAAATATTGCAACTTAACTTGTTTTTCTTTTTTTGCTCTTTCCCTGGTCATTTTTTTAGTCAAAAATGTGCAGCATTTAATGTCAATTACTTAATTATTGTTGCCAAAGAAACGTCTTATTGTAAGAAGTAGAGATATTCTACCACACATGCACAAGTTCTGCATTTTCAGATCTGTTAACTTTCAGGGGAGCAGTCAAAAATTCTATCTCTGGAAAGCCATGATGCCAGACAATAAAATGTAGCTGACTTTTGTTTTGCCATAATTAACATGTTAATTGTTAGCTGACATAATAAATCAAAAGAGGTAAAGTGAAAATGACTGTAGGAAATGTTTAGAAGTTCACAGCCAGAACAAACAAAAATAGGAACTGTTTATTGTTATTGTATCTTTTTATAAGACACAACTGTGTTGACTGTTGTACTTGTTACATTGCATTCATATTCATAAAATCATTTTCTGAATTTTTCTTTTTTGCACATTTGATTTCTTTTGTGGAAGGTTATAAAAAATGTATTTTTTATTTTACTGGGCACAACTTTGTATATTCCTTTATCTTAAGCTTATCAAATGAGTGCACTATACACCAAGGCAAGTTTTTTTAAGCACTTGTGATTTATTTTTGGGAATGTCAAAATAATGGATTGTTCTTTGTTGGTGGAAGAGAAAATAAATACATTCTGAACAAAGTGTAGAGTCTGTTTATGATTTGTTGTTGCACTGTAAATAAATTGATTTGCAATAATACAGAAAAACACTGAAATATATATGTCAAGAGTAATGACATTTGTACTCTTATCAAATTAATACCAACTGCAAAAAATAGCATATTGGTAGGAAAACTCACAAATGGTTATCTGTTAGTAGTAACATGATTAAAATATTGCTTGTACATTTAACATTCATGTCCATATATCAACAGTTTCCCTGAACAAGTAAGTCTAATAAAATAGAGAACCTGGAAATGTTGGCACTATTTAGTGTTGTTTTGAACAAGAGGCAAGTATTTTGTAATAATAAATAAAATTAAACATAGAAATTAATAGATTGACCTTGACTTCAACACTGAAGGAAACTAAAATGTATTAGTCTTTTTAGAAAAAAATAGAAACACATTTTAACTCATTCATGCATTTAGTTTTACAATCACACAGTGTTTACACAGGACATATTGACATATCTGACTTGTTAAATGTTTTGTGGACCTGGGGGATTTATAGAAACTATTCCCCAGCTCATCACTGATCATTTGACGGAGTGTTACATAAAGATTAGTAATTGCATACACATCATGTATTACCAGTCTGTGCTCAGTCATGAGTTCAGTGCATAAGTGAAATACATCAACATCACAGGGAAAGTCCTTGAAACGACATTCTTCTATACATATTTCCAGCTTTGTTAGATCAGCAGACTGTAAAAAATTTGGAACCCCATACAGGTTGGGAACGCCATGCATTAATGTGGGACGACCATGAGGAGCCCGAGGATTATTTGTAGATCGTATACGATGGTCATTCCATGCATGGACAACTTCATCCAGCTCCACCTGTTTGATTAAAAAATGGGAAAAAAAAATAAGAAAATAGAAAAAAAGTGTTAACACTTTATTTGAAGGGGGTTGAATAAGACTGTCATGACACTGTCATAAACATGACATAACACCTGTCATGAACATCAATAAGTCTTCATAAATATTTATGACTGTTGTCATAAAGTGTCATTCGGTAAATAATGACACTTTTAATACAAAGTTGACATTATTCAAAATGTCTTCGTTATGACAGCTTGACATTATTCTAGACAAAATGTCTTCGTTATGACAACTTGTCATTAACCTCGCCAAAAATGTCTTTATGATAACTTGTCATTAACCAAGAAATCATGATCTGACATTTAAATTTGTTATAAAAGTATTACTGATTAAACTTTAAAAATTAGCTTTATGTAGTAATATTATAAAGCTCTGCCATGTTTAATTTAAGTTTGATAATTGCCACACGACTTCTCCAAACCCTTCAGGTTTGATACATCTGCTGACTTGGAACTCAGCCAATTTGTCCAAGTCAGTCAGCCACCGGTTCCACTGTTTTTGGAAGATTAGAGGTATAGGATCATCCCAGCCCCATTTCATCCTGCATAACTCTTGTAACAGCAGTTTGGCAGGAAGAATGAGAGGTGCTAGGAATCCTAGCGGATCATAAATGGAGCTGATGGTGGACAACATACCTCTTTTAGTGGAAGGCTTTTCTTTGACTTTCAGTTTGAACTTAAAACTGTCTGTCTCTGTGCACCATTGTAAACCTAGTGCTCTGTCTAGCGGTAGCTCATCACCGTCAAGATTCAACTCACAAAGAGTCTGGGACCTGAGCTCTCCTGGGATACATTGGAGCACTTCTCGGCTGTTGCTAATCCATTGGGTTAGCGTAAACCCTCCTTTGCTGCAAATAGCTATTAGATCTTCGGCCATGGTAACTGCACTTTCCTCTGATGGCAAACTTTTTAAGAGGTCATCCATGTAAAAGTTTTTGTTGACTTTTACACTTGACTTGACTTTTAGTTGTTCATACAACTGAGAAGTTGGACTGATTATCCTCAGCAGTCTTTCTGAGAGCATAGCAAGCACAGCTCGGTGAGGAGACTGCACCAAATAAGTGGACAGTCATACGGTATTCCTCAAGGTCTTGTTCTAGATTACCTTGAGGCCACCACATGAAACGTAGAAAGTCCACATGCTCCTCAGCCACCTTAACCTGGTGGAACATGGATTTTATGTCTGCCATTAATGCCACATGTTCCTGCCGAAACCTCACTAGAACCCCCACTAATGAGCTAGTTAGATTAGGGCCCTGTAAAAGCTGACTGTTAAGAGAGACCCCTTTATACTCTGCTCCACAATCAAACACTACACGCAGCTTATGTTTTTGTGGATGGTATACACCATGATGGGGTATATACCACACCTTGCCTTTTGCTGTTGTCAGCTGATGCTGTGGAACCCTTTCTGCATGTCCACTATCAATGGCACTTAATGACTTTGTCATAACTGTTGCTTGTTTCAGTTTACTTGAGGTAATAGTTAATATTAATGACACTGTAATGACACTTAATGACGTCATAACTGTTACTTGTTTCACTTTACTTGAGGTAATAGTTAATATTAATGACATTGTAATGACACTTAATGACTGTCATAACTGTTGTAACTTGTTTCACTTTACTTGAGGTAATAGTTAATATTAATGACATTGTAATGACACTTAATGACATATTCATAACTGGTGCTACTTGTTCCACTTTAGTTGATGTAAAAGAAATTGTTAATGAGTGTTATTAGATCATTTGACCGTGTAATAAAGCTTAGTGAAATCTTTATTGCTTGTCCTACTTGTTTTGCTTTATTTCAGGGAGGGGAATTATTAATCATTGTTTTGTTAAAGCTTTTGCTAGTGTAATAATTAAATCATTATGACTAATATGACAAATTTATGTTAGATCATGATTTCTTGGTTAATGACAAGTTGTCATAATGAAGACATTTTTGGCGAGGTAAATGACAAGTTGTCATAATGAAGACATTTTGAATAATGTCAACTTTGTATTAAAAGTGTCATTATTTACCGAATGACGCTTTATGACAACAGTCATAACTTCATGAAGGCTTATTGATGTTCATGACAGGTGTTATGTCATGTTTATGACAGTGTCATGACAGTTTTATTCAACCCCCTTCAAATAAAGTGTTACCCATATATTATATATTAATTATATATCTTTGTAAACTGACCTTNACCGTTTGATTTACCGTCGGTCGCGCCTGCCGCCAGCAAGCATTCAGCTAAATACATCTGTTTACAACGGTAAGAAATGTGGTTTTGTTCATTTAAGTCTGTAATATAAGCTAGCATAAGCTAGTATAAAGTAATCAATTTGGCATACTGACCACGGTAGCTAATCTTGAAGATAGCTTAAGAAGATGGATATCTTTGAAGCTAACGTTTTCTGTTTCTTTACTTCGTCAGTCAACAACTGACTTTCCAGTAACTGTAGTTAATATCTGAGGTACTTTTATTTGCTCTAATGACACATGTTCAGTTTACCACAAAGTCGTGGTGTAATAACTGGTGAGTAGTTCGTAGATGCTGCATCTCGCTCCCAAACCAAACCGAAACCTCTGAGCTGATGTGTTTTTAAAAGTTAAACTAAAATATGTCATGTACTCTCTCTCGTTAATTATTATTATTATTATTATTATTATTAAATTCTAAATAATTTAAGTAACTAAACCACAAGCAAAGAAATGTAGATATAAATATATATATTTTGTCTGCAAATCTATTTTATTGATTTAATCAGTAAGTTCAAATAACAACCACTACAACATGTTCTTGCTTTTGTACAGTGTGTGTTGTTTCAGAAAGACAGAAGACTGGACAGTGTGGAGCAGCTGGATTTTCACAGCCTTTTCTGATCACACAGGAGGTCTTAGGTCACGTTCTCTATTGATTGACCTCTGTTCTCCACAGATGGCTTAATTTTCAGTGTATTTCCTTTTCTACTGCTAAAGACAATGTCAATATAGAACGGTACAGTTCTTAATTACCAATAAATGTTTTCTTATCTTTTCTGTGAATTTAAAGAAGTTTCTCAAGATGTGTCCATTTTAAAAGTAAAACCACTGTATATGCATATATTTGTGTAATTATACAAGCAACTGTGGTTTATAGTTATTATAAAACAAAAGTTTTAAATTTAAAAAAATAAATATATTGGTGAAAAAATGTATTTGTAACATTGAAATAGTTTGAGTTTAGCCTTAGTAAAATATTTGACAAAAAAACATAGTGCTTAAAGGCATTATGAATGTCCCAGCCCGGGGGCTTTCTCCATGCAGAAAGACCACCTGTTCACCCACCATGCATCCCTGTGCATGGTGGGTTCTCTCCGGGTACTCAAGCTTCCTCTCACAGTCCAAAAACATGACTGTCAGGTTAATTGGTCTTTCTAAATTCTCCCTAAGTGTGAGTGTGTGTGTGTGCATGGTTGATTGTCCTGTCTGTCTCTGTGTTGCCCTGCGACAGACTGGCGACATGTTCAGAGTGACCCCACCTCTCGTTTTCTGTAGATAGACACTAGACCCCTCCCGACCCTACTAGGGATAAGGGTGTTAGAAAATGCATTGATGGATTGCATTATGAATGACTATATTATTATTAGTTTTCCAGGTAAAATTATAATTTGTAGTATGACTTGCTTTACATTTTATTGGAAACATCTGATGATGGTCTTGTGTATCTTCTCTTCCAGTGTAAGATCACAGAATGGATGACCTGAGTGATTTCCTGAAACAAAGGAATATTCCAGAGGAAACTATCGAGACCATGCTGAGAGAGAAGGTACTAGCTGAAAAAAATCAGTATTTCAAAAACTACAGTTTTTTTAAAGCATGTGTCTAGCAATGTTATCTAATTTAATTCAAATAATGTGCATGCAATTCTAGTTCCATTTTTGTAGTTTTAAAGAAATATTTTTTTATTGTCCTTATCTAGATTGATACCAACGTCATCCAGCTCATGACAGATGAAGAGTTAAAGAATTATTTGCCATCATATGGAGACCGCATAGCCCTGTTAGGATACTGTAAAAGAAAGGAAAATGGCCCCCCAAACAGTCGCAAATCAAAACTGTTTGAGCGCTTGAAATCAAAGCTGGGTAAAAGAAGAACTGCTCATGAAGATGGCTGTGGTATGGACAAAGAAGAGCAATCTGAAACAACTGTAAAGAAGAATGCTCTGAAGTCAAAGAGAAAAATAGAAATAGGCTGGCTGCTTTATGATGAACAACAGGCTTTTAAACAAGTAAGAACAAGAAGAGGTGGTGGAACACGGAAGGTCGATGTATCAAAGGATGATAAAAAAGGTGAGATAATCCAGATGGCTCTTGGCGTTTTCTTTCCAAATGGGAGAAATAGAGAAGGGTCCATAACAGATTTTGAAATAGATCTGAAAGATTATCAGGAAGTGCCAATTGATGACAAAGACTCTGTTGGACAAATGTTTCATGTTGCAAAACTGACTATTCTCAGGTTTTACCTGACCACACATAAAAAGAAGGCTAACCAGTCAGTCAAGATGAAGTTTTGTCTTCACCACTTTCTCAGGATCAAGACAGTTCTCTGAATCAGCCCTCCTCTTCATCTGCTGTAAATGTTGCAGCGACCAGCCAATCTGCAATATCCATAGTAACTTCTAACTTCCTATTTGTTGGAAATATAACAAATCATGACAATATTAACTTTTCACTTCATTCTGCAGAGCTCAGGGAGGAGGATTTGGAGAGCAGTAACAGTGTTTCTAGGACCGTTTTCTGACAGTGAGCCACAGATTTTGGGTGACACTTTGCTAATATCCCCTCAATTCTCATCATCTGCCAAGGCAGTGAAGAAGATACTGGTAGTTCACAGAGGTCAGGTACTTCCTGAGCTCATAGCAACTTCTCTGATGATGGACTTCTAGATAGAGACTTCAAAATCCAACTTGTCCTGCCAGATGGAACACCTGAGATGGGTTATGATGACGGAGGAGTCGTTAGAGACTGTCTTTCTGAATTCTGGAAAGAATTCTATGACCAGTGTACTACAGGAAACACTTACAAAGTGCCTTTTCTGAGGCATGATTATGGACAACAGCAGTGGGAGAGTGTAAGCTGACTAATTGTTTTTGGATGGACAAGAGAGAAATATCTTCCTATGAAGATTGCACCTGTCATACTAGAGCAAGCAGCTTTTGGACAGGTAAAAAGTGAGGTGGTGGAGAATTTCCTTAAGTGCATGCCTGAATCTGAGTCTTTTGTGTTTCAGTCGTGGCAGTCAGACTTCAGCAGTGTTGACAAAGAAGAATTGATAGAGATTCTTGACAACCACAGTTGCAGACGAATGCCCACTGCCAGCAATGTAAATGAAATCCTCCAGGAGCTTGCACACAAAACACTTGTCCAAGAGCCTGCTTACGTTATTGAACAGTGGGCCAAAACACTCAGTATCACCGGGAACAGCTTCCAGGACCTTTCTTCATTGTATGAAAACTTGGAACCAAGTGCAAGAAAAGTTTTGAAGTCCATTGTCTTTCCTCAGGAAATGAATATTCATCAGAAGGATATTCAAAAGTACGTTAACACGTATATCAGGAATGCAGATTTGCAGCATCTGTTCTTGTTTCTAAGGTTCTGCACAGGCTCAGACCTGTTCCTGGATAAGAAAATTCTTATCGATTTCACAAAGATTCAAGGGTTTCTCAGAAGACCTGTGGCTCACACATGTAGCTGTGTCCTTGAGCTGTCAATCTATTATGACAGCTATCCAGATTGCAGTGCTGAAATGAACAAAGTTTTGGAGTCTAATGTATGGGTCATGGACATTAAAGTTTTGAAAGTGATGGAATTAGAGGGTGGAGCTACACAGTTGTGGACCTCCTCAAAGAAAAAACAAAGGAGATTAAGGTGGCTATTTAAAGTAACAAGTTGCCTATCAAGATCTAAGTAGATGTTTTGAGGATTTTCCCCCCAATTTGCTAGAGTTTAAGGCTTTAGAGATAACACTTTACCTGGGTGACATTATCCTTCCCAAACTTTCTCCAGATGTAATAAAAAGGATCAACTGTTTGTAATAGGTAAATGCTGGTTTGTGCAGCACAGCTGTTGGTTTGTTTAAGGGTAGGTTGTCAAAACTCAACAAGGCTTCTTAGCACTACTCTTCTTAAAAATATCAATAATTTGGAATCTGTAGTGATTTTTGATGCAAAAAACAGAGTCAATACTTACTGTTAGGATTAAGTACAAAATGTTAAGTATTTGTAAGCCATAGGGTGTTGTCATTTATGAATGACATTTGTACTTTTACATATTCAAAGTTGAAGTTTTAAGTTATTTGAAATGTAATCAGTACAGAATTGACATTGTCCACATTATCACAAACAGAAAATAAATATTGCAACTTAACTTGTTTTTCTTTTTTTGCTCTTTCCCTGGTCATTTTTTCAGTCAAAAATGTGCAGCATTTAATGTCAATTACTTAATTATTGTTGCCAAAGAAACGTCTTATTGTAAGAAGTAGAGATATTCTACCACACATGGACAAGTTCTGCATTTTCAGATCTGCCAACTTTCAGGGGAGCAGTCAAAAATTCTATCTCTGGAAAGCCATGATGCCAGACAATAAAATGTAGCTGACTTTTGTTTTGCCATAATTAACATGTTAATTGTTAGCTGACATAATAAATCAGAAGAGGTAAAGTAAAAATGACTGTAGGAAATGTTTAGAAGTTCACAGCCAGAACAAACAAAAAATAGGTACTGTTTATTGTTATTGTATCTTTTTATAAGACACAACTGTGTTGACTGTTGTACTTGTTACATTGCACTCATATTCATAAAATCATTTTCTGAATTTTTCTTTTTTGCACATTTGATTTCTTTTGTGGAAGGTTATAAAAAATGTATTTTTTATTTTACTGGGCACAACTTGGTATATTCCCTTATCTTAAGCTTATCAAATGAGTGCACTATACACCAAGGCAAGTTTTTTTAAGCACTTTATTTTTGGGAATGTCAAAATAATGGATTGTTCTTTGTTGGTAGAATAGAAAATAAATACATTCTGAACAAAGTGTAGAGTCTGTTTATGATTTGTTGTTGCACTGTAAATAAATTGATTGGCAATAATACAGAAAAATACTGAAATATATTCGTCAAGAGTAATGACAACATTTGTACTCTTATCAAATTAAAACCAACTGCAAACAGCATATTGGTAGGAAAACTCAACTGGTTATCTGTTAGTAGTAACATGATTAAAATATTGCTTGTACATTTAACATTCATGTCCATATATCAACAGTTTCCCTGAACAAGTAAGTTGAATAAAATAGAGAACCTGGAAATGTTGGCACTATTTAGTGTTGTTTTGAACAAGAGGCAAGTATTTTGTAATAATAAATAAAATTAAACATAGAAATTAATAGATTGACCTTGACTTCAACACTGAAGGAAACTAAAATGTATTAGTCTTTTTAGAAAAAAATAGAAACACATTTTAACTCATTCATGCATTTCGTTTTACAATCACACAGTGTTTACACAGGACATATTGACATATCTGACTTGTTAAATGTTTTGTGGACCTGGGGGATTTATAGAAACTATTCCCCAGCTCATCACTGATCATTTGACGGAGTGTTACATAAAGATTAGTAATTGCATACACATCATGTATTACCAGTCTGTGCTCAGTCATGAGTTCAGTGCATAAGTGAAATACATCAACATCACAGGGAAAGTCCTTGAAACGACATTCTTCTATACATATTTCCAGCTTTGTTAGATCAGCAGACTGAAAAAATTTGGAACCCCATACAGGTTGGGAACACCATGCATTTATGTGGGACGACTATGTGGAGCCCGAGGATTATTTGTAGATCGTATACGAAGGTCATTCCATGCATGGACAACTGCATCCAGTTCCACCTGTTTGATTAAAAAATGGAAAAAAAAAAATAAGAAAATAGTTAGAAAAAAGTCATGCTTTTGTATTATTTGTAACTTATTTCAAAATTGTGTGCTGAAAGCAAGAAGTAAATTTATAGGACCTGTATTGTTTGTAGGAAACAAAACTGGATCAGTGATTTGTCCAGAAAGCTGTCAACAAAATAGCCATCGGCTTTAAGCTGGTCGAAATGGTCCATCCAAAACTGGGCACATTCACTTCTTAAAGTGCACCACCATCGCTCTGTCCTTTGATTTCCTGCACTCGGACCGAGAATAACAGAGTCAAAACCATTTTCATTCTCGTTGTTGTGCAGAAATCTTTGCATCGCCGCCACATGAGTGTTCTCTGTGCCATGATCCATTTGTATCTTCTGTGGAAATCCATTATACTCCATCACAGCGTCAATGAAATAGCCAGCAATAATGTGAGGGTCACTATTGGTCTTATAGGCTTCTAGCCAGATCATTTTCCTCGATGTGCCAGACATAGTTTGGTACCTGACTGACATATAAGCGTCGCCTCAAGCGATTTTGTGCACGCAGGTCAACCCCGTTGGGATCCAATAAGCGCATCAAAAGACGTACCGTTTCCGTCTGTGACTATGCCAGCCATGCAACATTTCTGCTGCATCCACCTGTAGCCGTGCTGTCTCCCAGATCCTTGTAGTTGGTCCTCAATAAAAGAGGCCACTTCTGCAACATCTGTCTTGTTTTTTCTACGCCACAGGCTCTTCTTTTGCAGTCTTCTCTCCAGTGTCCGGAGACTTAATTTAACATTATGGGTTTCTTCCAAAACTCACAAGATTTCAAAATTCGTAAAACCACTTCTGAAGTATTGCTCAATGATATTATCAATATCCATTTCTTTCTATCAAGTTGAGCATATCTCAAACTATAGGGCCAACTCAAGTTATCTCATTATAATGAGATANTTATATAAAAATCTTTTCTAATTTTGTAGTGAAAATGCCAGTGGCAGATTTCTTTTAGGCAGTGCGCTTGGAATCAAACTTTTTCACAATGCTGAGTGTTTTAGATGCCTTTACTTAAATTTTTCAGTGATTATTCCTGTGATGGTTGGTTGTGTAGCGACAGTGGAACTCATGAGATTTGCCGAGCTTTAAAAAATGATGAAAACTCCTTGCATTTCTTGAAATACGGTGCATTCTCTGGTGTATCTTCTTTCTTGGCATGAGTGGTTGCGGAGGCATGAAACCTAAGCTTCAGATATTCCTAGTGCATCCCTGGACAATCTTACAAAGGGCGCCTGCTGCCTGGAGCTAAATGTCAGCAT